TTAGCTATGGTAAAAATGCTGCAATAAACATAGTTGTGCTATTAGCTTTAGTATGGTTTTGTTTGTGATCACTTGGGTAAATGCCCTGAAGTGGGATTTCTGGGTCATAGGGGCATTCTTTTGAGGAACCTCCATACTACTTTCCAAAGTGGCTGAACAAGTTTACACTCCCACCAGCAATGCAGTGAGGTTCGCATCTGTCCACATCCCCGCAGAAGATCTTCTTTGTTGCAAATCAGTAATTGGCTTATTGACTGACATCTAATGTCTTAGATTCTTAGAGCAAAATAGAATCATGTTCTTTATAAAATGAATCTTTAGGTTATCATCATACATTTATTAGCTATTTTTTTGTTTAAAATTGATCTTTAAGTAGTTGTACAAAGAAGTTTCCATTTAACAACGCAGTTTGTGAATACAATATATCTTGATCAGTGTTACCCCTTTCAACATTCTCTCTCATCCTTCCCTCCCTGCCCCTTCCCTGATTCTTCTTAATTTTGTAGGATATACATTGGATTCTTGACTGCATTCTCTCCCTTTTCCTCTTCATTTGTTTACTCCTTTTCCCTTGACCCTACCCACTTCCTGGTGTTTTATTTTGCTGAATTTGACCTTGCCTTTTTAAGGCATTACATTTGGTTCACCCTTGAATCTACAGTATTTATGTTAATGTATTTGTATATATTTAGCAATGCATTCTTTATTTCTATATTTCACTTGTAATTTAATGAGGATGTTTAGACTCGACCTTTCTTATGTGGCAAAACCAAGGCCTGTCAAAGTGTCTGGTGTGCAGTAGGTGCACAAAATACAGAAAAGAGTAAATAAGGGAGTAACTGGAATGCTGAGCCCATTGTACCATTCATTGGCTGGGAATTTGGGCAAGTCTGTTCTCTGCTTCATTGTCATTGTATATAAAATGAGAGTTAAGCTAGATGACCTAGGAAACCACTTTGGGCACCAGTGGAATATAATTTATGATCACAACTAGCAAAGATTATCATCAGTTCTTGACCCATCATGGAATTATATAGTGGCCTAATGATTCTCCATATTCACTTTTCTTATTGGTTGGTCATGGGCCTTGAGAATGCAGGGTCTAGGTGCTGTCTCGGTGCTCTTTTGTTCAAGGCTAGCTCTCTACCACTTGGGGTCACAGCTTCACTTCTGGGTTAATTAGAAATAAGACTCTCTTGGACTTGTTTTTTTGCTGAGCTGGCTTTTTCACAAATGAGGCAAACCATGTAACCTATGTTTCTCTGGGTCTGGCTTACTTTGTGATATATATAATTTTTCCAAGTCTTTACATTTCCTTATGGACGGTCCAAATTCACTTTTAAGACTAGAATGAATTATTTCAAATTTTTAATTTTTAAAATAAAGTAGAAACAACTCACCAGAGTTTCTGTGCTTTTTCTTTCCAATGCAATGAGGAAGGCTCCGGATATAATGAACTGTTAAAACAACAAGAAGTATCACAATGATGGGTGCGTCTGTCTGATGTTAGGATGTCTCACAGGCTGGGTTACTGCACATCCTTTTCCTTGGCAAAGTGAGAAGGATGGACTGTCTGGAAGATGCTCCCTAAATAAATAGTGAACAAAACCCTGGCAACCTGTTCTAGCCTTAGCAATTGACCTAACTATGTGAATTAAAAGCAATTGCCCCACACTTTAATTTTCTTGCCTGATTTCCATTTCTAGTTATGATATCATGACACATTAGTGTCAAGTCAGTTTACAATACTAATATCAGAAATTTCATCTTACTAAAAGTTCAGTCTGTGTGTTCTCTTGGAGAGAAATGTGAGGTGATATTGCTTCTAATCCTTACCAAAAAAAGAAAAAAAAGAAACCCCAACTATTTTCATGGAGGTGAGTCAAATGTGGTACCATCTTCGCCTAGTAGAGATTTCAGATCGGATGATAGTTCATTGGTGCTTAAATCTCTAGGCCCCCTGATGGTATTTCGCCAGGCTCATCCCTCCACTCTTACTACCTGGGGTAAAATACTGCAGGTTACAGAATATGAAATGCTTTCCAGGACCTTGATCCTTTATTCTGAAACAAGGCATCCCTGCCTTTACACCTAGATGTCCCTTGTTCCTGTCCTCTGTATGTTTCTTTACCCCATTAAGCATTTGAAAGCTTGGTCAAACTGGAAATGGCTCTGAAAAATACCCTTACCCTTTGGTGCCTGTTCCTTCCATATCCTCTCTTAGTACTCACGGTTCTCTGTGGTAATTGTGTAACCTCCCTTGTCAGCAATCACAGCTGAGAGGGGCTTTCAAAGCCTGCCTATTTTCTGGCACTGTTAGAGGGAATTACTGTTAATCGAATGAGCTTAAATGTAACACATTCTTCTGTGTACACAGCAGGGGCATACGAAGACTTCAGTTCTCTAAAAGTGAATTGCAAGTTGGTCTCTGCTTATATAAGTACTTCTAACTCTCCTCTTACATTGCTTACCACAACACCTTGACAGGATCTGTTCACATTTTTCTTTCTTGCTCGCTTGAGAGCTCTCAGAGGTTGCTCAGTTGCACCAGCTTTTTGGTTTCCCTTGCTTTGCTCTATGGATTTGACTTAGAATCCATAGCTATTGATTTTAGAAGACTTAATGGACAAAATAGCAACTACAAGACCCAAAGCAATATTCCCAAAGGAATTTCATGACCCAAAGATAGGATATACATAAAGCTGGTGACTTAATGGGAGGAAGTAACTTCAACCAGTTAATCTTTTTCTGCTAATTCTTTTCTAAGCACATCATATACCCGAATATTCTATAGTTCGTTACCAAGTGTTTACTAGGATCTTATGTGATTGACATGACTTCCAATGGAACGGCTGTACTCACCAAAGCAGAGCCCCAGAATGGATATCCGGAAAGAAAAATAAAGGGAAACCTTGGGTATGGTTTTATCAAGAGGAAAATAAAAACAACTCCAAAAGAAAAAACCATAATTCCAAGCAGGATCTGGATGGCCTGTGAATAGAGGGAAAAGTCATGTTTAGATCTGATTTCACAGTTAGGCTTTCTCATAAACAAGGGAAGGATAGCAGAAGTTCCTTGGCGATGGATGCTCCCAGGACTTTTCTTAAACCCTCTCTCCGATATTTGCTGTAAGTGCTCCTACATTATGCGAAATCTAGGTAAAGAAGGGTATATGATTATGGGGAAAGAGGTCTCCCAAACTACCTTACTGTTTTTCCTCTCTCTTTTTTAGCTTCTAAATATTATTTTTAAAAATACGTTGTAAATGAGGGAGACGGTGATACTGTTCAAAAAGAAATGTAGTCAATACCTGACTTATGTAACTATAACCCCTCTGTACATCACCTTACAATACTCTGTAATCACCTTTACAATAAAAATTAAAATATGTGATTGTGGTAGAGGTAGGAGGGGACCCATTCTTTCTGAATTGTGTGGAAATGAAAGTTGGGGTTGGTTCATACCTTTAAACTGTGCCACAAGCTAGGCTTCCTTTCTCCTCTCTCAAACTTCCCCTCAACGCAATACAGAGCAGGGAGGTCTTGCTACTTACCCCTAAGATCTTCATTTTTGTAACAAGAAATTTCTGCAGGAAGTTTTGAGAGTAGTAGATCTTAGCCGTGAATTCTGATGACTTATATTCCGGACTGTTAATTTCTGGAGGAAATATCAGGAACATGGGACTGTGTGCAGTATTTGAATTCATGATGATGCTGGTATGGTTGATATTTTGATGTAAGAGAGGATGATTTTCTGGTGGTTCTGTCTAGTCCATGTTCTTTTCTTGCATTGTCTGTAGTAAGGCTGTCTATGGCACTGGCATTGTTGTGTTTTGACTTGGAATTATAGAACCTTTGAGTCACAGAGTCATAGAATTTCAGCTCTGCTCAAGATCCTGAGAAGGTTGCAAAGCAACCTGCCAGGTCTGTGGCTTGGGTCAGAGAAGCTGACCAGTAGTCTTAAAATGGCCAGAAACAAGCTGTCACCTTGGAGCAAGCCCCATACTCCTCTGATGTTTAAACTTCCAGATATATAATATAAAATACAAATTATAAACATATATAAGCCTAAATATGTAAACATAAACATATCATATATATCTGTACCAAATATACATAGACCACATTAATAAATTAGTATATATTATAAATGAATATAAATCTCATTTGATTTGGTAGACATATAGTACATAATATATGATGTCTAATATATATATCATCATATATATAATATATTATGCCTAATATATAATATATGTCATGTGTAATAATTATATGTACAATATATTTATACCAAATTGGACTATGTATATTTTGTATATTATCTTTCTCCTTGTCTCTCTCTCTCTATACACACATATATATGTGTATATGTATGTATGTATACACAAATATATACACAAACAAACAACATGGTGACTTCAAATCATTTCTCTGGGTCATACAGTTGGTTATGCTGCTGTGGTCTTGGTCTGCTCATCTCTTCCAGTTTTTCTCATGCATCTCAGATCAGTATATCTAGCGGTTGGCAGACACTTGAACCTCTTCCAGTTCATAACTGCTTTCTATACCTTTGTCAATCGTATGTTGTGTCCATTGGCCTAAGCAAGTTGTATAGACAATTTAGACTCAAAGGATAAGGAAAAGATTCTGCATCTTCATGGGAAGATCTGAATTATCAAATTACAAGGATATGGATGAATGAAGGATAGTCATTTATGTCTATTTAAATTTTTTTGTCTTTTTTTTAATTGTAAAGATACTGAACCAGAGGGGTTACAGTTACCTGAGTAAGGTAATAAGTACATTTCCTATTGAGCATTGTTGCCTCCTTTGTTTTTCCCCTACTATCCCTTCCCCCCTCCACTTCTCCAACTCCTCCCTCAACCCACCCCTATGCCCCAAAGTTGTAAAGTTCTTTTTCAACATAATGTCTTGTCTCATCATTAAACATTTTTATACTTTGCCTTGTTTTTCCTTAGTATTTTCTACTGAGATCAGATTTCCCTTAATTGAATTTTGGCTGGCTTCTGCTGAGCTGCCAGACAGAATATCATTCATTATGGCTTTATTTTTCTGAATTTGCCTTTCATTCAGTTTTCCATGGGTGTAGAATTCTGTAATCATTCATGGGTATCAGCTGATTTTGGATTAATGTTGTCTGAGTTAAATTTTGTTCTAATAGATGTTTTTAAAATGGACAATTCTAGGGTTTGAACTCGGACTTTGTAGTTTGCTAGGCAAATGCTCTACCAGTTGAGCTAAGCACCAATACTTTTTTTACTTTATTTTTCTGATAAGGTTCTCACTTTTGCCCAGAGCCAACTTTGAGCCATGATGATCCTCTCCCATAGCTGGGATTACAGGCATGTACCACTTCACTACCCCCCTCCAATATACTTATAATGAACTATTTTACTCTCATTACTCATGAGCTTAGCTCTGGATGTAGTATAATGAATGTTACAATATGGTCCAGAAATGACTTTATCAAATAAAATAATTATATTTTTTATCAAATTATATTATCCAATTTATCTAATAAATCATCTAGGCTTATTCATACTTGGATGACATCTATTCCCTACTTCTCTGTACTCCTGGGTACTTGAATTATCTCATTTTCAAGTCTGCCAAAAGCTATTCTTTGCAGGGGAATGGCTCTAATGTTAAGATAGTTTATGGATTAATAGACATTTGCATTGCTTTGTACCCCAAAATGAAGATTTTATTTCAAGTTTTTTATTTGCTAGCTATTCCAGAGGAGTTATGATGCCCCAGGTGATTGGACTGAGGTCTGTGGTCCAATGAGATTAGGCCTCTGCTCTGATTCCTTTGCAAAGCTGTTGCAAGAAAGGCTCAGTGAGTTCTTCCACTCTTACCTTACTGCAGATGAAGCTTTTGCTTTCACATTTCTAAGTTTTTTCACTGTTGTAAAACCTACCCACCCCTTTTACATACCCCTATCTGTCCCCTGAAGAGCGCAATAGTGACACGTGGCATCTCTGTGGGAGCCCCTAAATCCTTTAGTTTTTGATTGCTATTTTTTTATTTATTCAATACTTGGGCTTGAACTCAAGGCCTGGGCATTGTTCCTGAGCTTTTGTGCTCAAGGTTAGTGCTCTACCACTTGAGCCACTTGAGCTCCACTTTGGGGACTTTTGGTGGTTAAGTGGAGATAAAGAGTCTTATGGACTTTCCTCCCCTGACTGGCTTTGAACCACGGTCCTCAGATCTCAGCCTCCTAAGTAGCTAGGGTTACATAAACCACCATGATATAACCTCTGTAATTGATTGATATATGAACACATATTAAATGTTCCTTTTGTGGCTTTTCAGGGATTTTATCATCAAAGGAAAAATAATTTTTTTGGGGGGGGGTCCAGTTGTGGGGCCTGAACTCTGGGCCTGGGCGCTGTCCCTCAGCTCTTCAGCTCAAGGCTAACAACGCTCTACCACTTGAGCCACAGCGCCACTTCCGGCTTTTTTCTTTTTGCTTATGTGGTGCTGAGGAATCGAACCCAGGGCCTCAGGCATGCAAGGCAAGCGCTCTACCACTGAGCCACCTTCCCAGCCCAGGAAAAATAATTTTTATTTCATATGGACAGATGGCCTTTCAATGCTCTCACTCTCTTTGCCACCCATTAAGAAAAAATAATAGACATGTGTTAGTCTGGTTGAGATGCTAAGACAAGGTGCCATACACTGGGTGAGTTAAGCAACAGAAACGTCTCATAATCATGGAGAGTGGAAAATAAAGAGCAAGCTGCCAGCTAACTTAACTCTGTGATGTCTCTCTTCCTGGCTTATAGCTTTCTTTCCATTTCCTTGAATGACATTTCCTTTCTTCACATATGGACCACTCTACACACACACACACACACACACACACACACACACACACACACACGCATGCATGCACATACGCATGCAAACATGCACACGAAGTGAATGTGTCTAGTTTCTTTTCATAGGAAGGTACTCACCTTCATATTTTCATCTAACCCTAGTGCCTTCCAAGAGCCATCTCCAAATACGGTCATTTTAGGAGTTAGGCCTTCAATGTAAGAATTTGGGAGAGGGGCATGATTTGGTTTATAGTAGAGAAAGATAGCATGAACCACTCTTACCTATCAAGTCATTCATCTATTGACTTATGGTTTTCCAATAATATTATTCTCTGAAGATCCCTGATATACTTTGGACTCTTGATGGAGGACAGAATTTTAATTTCACCAACATATATACATATAGATACATATATAATTTCATCATTTAAAGATGATGATGATTCTTTGTAGTTGTAAAGAGAGCACTGGTAGTCCATGGCATAATCTGGCAATGGAATCTACGGACTGTCTTTACTGGATACACCTAACCCACCACTTTTGTGTGTGTGTGTGTGTGTGTGTGTGTGTGTGTGTGTGTGTGTGTGTGTGCCAGTCCTGACGCTTGAACTTGTGGCCTAAATCCTGTCCCTGAGCTTTTTTGGTCCAGGCTATCACTCTCCTACTTGAGCCACAGCTCCACTTCCAACATTTGGGCTGTTAAATGAAGATAAGCGTCTCAAGGACTTTCCTGCTCAGGCTGACTTCGTGTTGCGATGCTCAAATCTCAGCCATCTGAGTAGTCAGGATTGTGGACATAAGACACAGATGCTAGCCAACCACTTTTAATAAGCAAGGGACTGGATCACAGTGTAAGATAGTGTGTTTTTGAAAACTAATGAAGATAATACCATTGACTATTTTCTCCTATAATTGCTGGACAGAATGAAGAGAGAAAAGGATGAGTTTGGGGATTTGAAATTTCAGGTGAAGTACAGCATAAAGGATCCATTTCTCTTTGTATTCTGAAGGAGCCTCTGTCATATTTTCTAGAAACATCTGCATTGCCGTCCATCCCTGAGTTCTTTCGCACTGCCAGGTGTGTATTTCTTTTTCTTCACTGTGCTTACTGCCACATTCTACCTCATTAAATATTGAGCAAATGTGTAGTATTTATCTTCCATACAAATTTGGAGAGAAACAATAAATGGGAGCTGGAAGCAGCAAAATGGGAAGGGTCATAGTGAGTTTGATTCCTTGCTGACTCCTTTGGTTTTTGAATCCTTATACAGCCCGAGTAAACTTCCTAGTTAATTTTATGAACCCCCATATTGAATACAAGGTAGCAGGTAGTCCTATCAAAAGTTGGTTCATTAAATATTGTTTTCAAAAGAATTGATACTCATAAATTGAAGCACTAAATTTGATGACAAAATGTTTACACGAGATTTATTCCTTTACCCCCAGAAAGTTCACATATAACGTTTTTTTGTTTTGTTGTCCTTGTATTTTAATTAAGACGGAACTCTTAGAGGGTTTTACACTCCCTTCATTTTCTGGTGATCTTTATCATAGTTAAGATTATAGGTTAGGGAAGACTATGTTGGTTTTCCCTTCATTTGGTTCCATTTTGGGAGGGGCAGTGTGGTATTTGTATAGCTTCTGAGTGTTAATCAGACTCTTCCGACTGCTGTTGATCTCTTGCATAACTCGAGGAAGGAGTTATATTCATATCTTTGTTGGAAGCTGAGCAAGCTGGGCTATTTTTCTGAATTTCTTGGTCAGATTCCATGCTGCTCAGACAGGCTAGATATGTGCTTTGGCTGCAAGAAGGTTGATGGTCTGACCTGGTGTCTTCTGACACCAGATCTGCAGATTTCCTGTCCTCTTGTTGGCTCAGTTTTGTCTGGGTACTGTGTGCATACACAGCTTGACTTACAGCTCTGGATCCAGTGCCTTTTTGGTCTTGATACTCACTGACTTGAGACAGAACGTTTTGTGATTGGCAGCCCAGGTTTTTCTGGGCTGTGATGCTTTGGGTTGAAATTTGTTGGCAGAGTACTTTCTGCCTTAGGGATTCTTGTTCCAGTAGATCTTGGCATCCCCAGTTTAGGGTATGCTGCTTTCCAAATTGCCATTCTTGTGCTTTCCAGTCTTTGTTTCTCCAGCCTTGACTTCTCCAGTCTTGGATTTTCTGGCCACCTGAGGATGTCCAGAATGGAGATTGCTTGTCCTGGGCTTCATAGTGTGGGTAGTCAAAGCTTCCATAGCTCCAGTCTTGACAGAATGGCTTTTGAGGTTTCTCCACTGGAATTTCTTGTCTTGGTTTTTGGAACTGTCCTTCTGGGTTTTTGTCTTCTTGGGATTTCCGGTGTTCAAAATGCTGATCTTGGATTTCTTTCTTTGGAGGCTTCTCCTTAACTGCTTCGTGGTCCTCATCTTTGGGCGGTTTGTCTGGCTCCTTTACAACCTGTTGAATTTCTCCATCCTGATATTTCTCTTTTTTGACCTGCTGGACCTGCTGATCTTCATCAACCTTCTCATCTTCAGCAACCTTCTCATCTTCAGCCTGCTTAGTTTTAACCTGATCATCAGTTTGCTGATCTGAGGGTTGGTCTGAGGTTTGGTTATATTGTGTTTGCTTATCCACAGAGTGCTTCCTTGGGAACAGCCAGGATTTGATTCTTTGGTCTAGGGATTTTCGTCTTGGAGATGACAGGTCCAAGGAATATCTCTTTTGGTATTGCAAACTTTTCCTTGGTATGTCTAAGGAATATCTCTTTTGGAACTTCCTATCTTTCCTTTGGTCAAAGGAAAGTCTTCTTGGGGACCTGATGCCATGGGCTTTCTTCTCAGATTTCCATTCCTGGGTTTGTTCCATGACTTCTGTTAGAATGTCTTGATATATTATTTCTGAAAGTGGTTCATCTTTTGACTGATCCAGGTCTAGCTTGAGTGGTATATCGTGTGATGATGTGTCTTGGTATGAAATGTCCTTTGGAACATCCTGACATGGTGTTTCTTGGGCTAGACTGTATTGGGATGGTGTTTGTTGGGCTGGTATGTCTTCAGCTGGTTCATCTTGAGATGGTTCATCTTTGGGTGCAATGTCTTGGGGTGGTTCATCGTGGAATGGGATTTCTTGGGGTGGTTCATTTTGAGATGATTCATCTTTGGATGGTTCAGCTTGAGATGGTTCATTTACTTGGGGTGGTTCATTTTGGGATGGTTCATCTTGAGGTGGTTTATCTTGGGATGTTCCATCTTGAGGTGGTTCATCTTGAGTTGGTTCTTCTTGAGGTGGTTCTTCTTGGGGTGGTTCTTCTTGCGGTGGCTCATCTTGGGGTGGCTCATCTTGGGGTGGCTCTTCTTGAGGTGGTTCTTCTTGAGGTGGTTCATCTTGAGGTGGTGGTTCTTGAGGTGGTTTTTCTTGAGGTGGTTCTTCTTGAGGTGGTTTTTCTTGAGGTGGTGGTTCTTGAGGTGGTTCTTCTTGAGGTGGTTTTTCTTGAGGTGATGGTTCTTGAGGTGGTTCTTCTTGAGGTGGTTTTTCTTGAGGTGGTTCTTCTTGAGGTGGTTCTACCTGAGGTGGTTTTTTTTGAGGTGGTGGTTCTTGAGGTGGTTTTTTTTGAGGTGGTGGTTCTTGAGGTGGTTTTTCTTGAGGTGGTGGTTCTTGAGGTGGTTCTACTTGAGGTGGTTCTTCTTGAGGTGGTGGTTCTTGAGGTGGTGGTTCTTGAGGTGGTGGTTCTTGAGGTGGTTCATCTTGAGGTGGTTTTTTTTGAGGTGGTTCTACTTGAGGTGGTTTTTTTTGAGGTGGTTCTACTTGAGGTGGTTTTTTTTGAGGTGGTTCTACTTGAGGTGGTTTTTTTTGAGGTGGCTCTACTTGAGGTGGTTCTACTTGAGGTGGTTTTTTTTGAGGTGGTTCTTCTTGAGGTGGTTCTTGAGGTGGTTCTTCTTGGGGTGGTTCTACTTGAGGTGGCTTAACTTGAGGTGGCTCATCTTGGGGTGGTTCATCTTGGGGTGGCTCTTTTTGGGGTGGTTCCTCCTTTGGTGGTTCCTCCTTTGGTGGTTCTTCCCGCGGTGGTTCCTCCCGCGGTGGTTCCTCCTGCGGTGGTTCCTCCTTTGGTGGTTCTTCCTGCGGTGGTTCCTCCTGCGGTGGTTCCTCCTGCGGTGGTTCCTCCTGAGGTGGTTCCTCCAGAGAGGGCAAGTCTTCAGTTGTCATATCACTTGACTGTATGAGATGGGATGATGAAAGTTCAGACTGCAAGGCTTGTGTTGATAGGGATTGTGAGAGTGGCAGTTCAGACGGCAAGTCACTGGGCAATGAATCTGCGAGCCCTTGGAGTAGTGAGTCCAGGTCCGGAAGCTGGTCTTGTGTTTCAGAGGGTTGTACTAGAGTAGATTCTAAATCATTTATGTGTTCACTTATAGAGCCTTTCAGAGAATGTGTAGTGCTTTCTGAGGACCTTGCCTCTAATGTGTGTTCTGGCTCAGTTTCTTCCTGTGATGACTTGGATGGTAGAGGTATACTCTCCTGTTGTTCTTCTAAAACAGAAAGTACATGGGAACTTGTCCTGTCTTCATCACTTGGCTCTGATCTTTCTTGGGAGGGCAAAGGATTTTTTGAGACTCTCAACTTATAGAAAGTGTAGCCTCCAAAGAAAACGGTTTGTATGTTTGAAGTACCATCAGTGTGACTGCCCTCTTGAAGCTCAAATTGTATCTGAGCATTTTCTTTGGGAGCAGGTTGTTCACCATTTTGAATAACATCTGAAGGCAAGAAAAACACAACCTGTAAAACAGGGAGAAGAGGGCATTAATGCAACAGACAGAACCATCTCTGATGAAATTTTCCTGTTGACTTCTCCAATTTTTTTTTTTTTGGTAATCTTTAGTTGTGACTGTAGATAGGAACTGACATCTAGATGAGGAGTTGGAAAAAAAATAATATCCGTCCTGTCATCCGTTCATTGGCATTATTGGGGACAAGTCAGTACCCCTTGGTGTCACAAATATACCGTCACAAATATTTTTTCCATGCTTAATATTATAAACTTTATAAGACATTTGAAATCATCCAGTTTGTATTCAAGTATGAAGTTTTTTTTAAAATTCAGTCCCCTAAGGGTGCACATTTTTCCTGGGGGTATTGCAATACCAGGTTGATGTGCATAGTGGCCGGGCAAGCTTTGATTGCATCTTCTTGCTATAAAATTCCATCATATATATATATATATATATATATATATATACACACATATATATAGTCATCAAATATACATACCCGCCTTATATATATGTATATATGTAGTATGTATGTGTATGATAATAACAAATACTACACTCAATCTTAGACAAGAAGTAATACGCATGATTTATTGGTCACATAGAGGACTAAATATTAGTCATAAAAATAATTAGATGTGAATTTTGACCTTATAGTGCTCACAATTGTTGGCAGACCAATGTAACAAATCAGTAACAATAAAACCATTCAGTGAGAGATGATATTATAGGTACAGGGAAAGGGGTGCTTTCAGGGAACATAGATGACCTAATTTCATTAGGGTCAGGATATGAATTTTAATCCATGAATATTAACAGGTAATAGGAATGTTTTAGGCAAAGATGAGGTAAGACAGACAATTCATGTAATGAGACAATGGAAACAGTTATGAAAGGATAGGGTTGTGACATAACATAGTATAATAACATCGCAGTTAGATATTGTTATAGGGTATGATTGGCTAGGGGATTGGGATTTGCCTTTAGACTCAAGAGAAGGTTATTGAGTTTTATATAAAAAGCTAATAGTATCTGACAAATGTTAGTGAGTCCTAGTCTTTCTAAAAATAAGGATCTGTCAAAATATTGTTATTATAAAAGCTTCTATACAAGGAGTGACAGTTAGATAAATCAGGTAATGAGTATGTTTCTTTTTGGACAATGTCACCCTTCTCTTGCTCTCTCCCATCCGGTGCCACCCACAAGTTGCACAGTTCATTTTCAACATAGTGTCCAGTGAATACCACTGCTACATTTGTTCATCCTTTGTCCTTCCATTTCTGTGCCTCTCTTACCCTTCCCAAAGACAGATACGTGAACAAACAAGACAAAAATAAGAGAAAAGGGAGACAGCAACAAAGAAAAAAACCTCTTGTTTCCATTTCCTGGAGTTCATTTAAATATTATTACTTTGTATGATCAGATGCTGCACATAGGCATTGCTTCTTGCGTTCCTCCCTTAAGAGTATTTTTGTTTGGTCTCTCCTTTGTGTGAGTGATTAGAGTCTTGTAGCAGTGTATTTTGTAGCAGTCTTGCTACAGTCTTGTGTATTTTGTAGAGTGTTGTAGCAGTGTATTAGAGTCTTGTAGCAGTGTATCATGTAGCAGTGTATTTTAAATCTAGCTTCCATATGTGAAAGAAAACATATTGTCTGTCTCTCTGAGCTTGGCTTGCCTCACTGAACATGATTTGTTCTAGATCCATCCATTTTCCTGCAAATGCCTTATTATTATTCTTAATAATGGCTGTGTAAAATTCCATTGTGTATAGGTACACAATTTTTGGATCCAGTTATCTATTGTAGGCATCTGGGGTTTCCACACTTGGCTATTGTGATAGTGAAGCAATGAGCATGCAATATGCAAGTGGCTTTATGGTATCCTGGTTTGTGATGTTCTGGGTAGATGCCCAGGAATGATATGGCTGTGTTGTAGGGGAGATCTAGGTTTAGTTGGCCAGAGTGTTGTCCAGAGTGGCTGTACTAGTTTACATTCCCACCAGCAGTGCCTGTAGGGTTCTTTTTTCCCCACATCCCTGCCAACATTTTCTGCTGTCCGATTGCATGGTGAGGTCCAATCTAATGGGGTGAGATGGGAATCTCAGAGTTGTTTTGCTTTGCATTTACTTTATGGCCAGGGTTGATGAGCATTTCCTCATGCGTTTCTTTGCCATTCTTACCTCCTCTTCTGAGACAGTCTCTTCTTAGCTCCTTTGCCCATTTGGTGATTGGTTTATTAGTTTGGGAGGGGTTAGTGTCTTGAACTCCTTGTACATTTTAGATATTAGGTTTTTGTTGGATGTATTGCTGGTAAAGATCTTTTCCTAGCCTGTGGAGCCTGCTGATTTTTAATCAGTCTGTGCCATTTCTGAGGTTCTTTATAGAGTAGGAAGAGACTATCTGTTCTATTTTACATATTTTATATTCAGTGAATTAATTATGCTCATCTAGTTGGTAATAGGACTAGCCCAAATCCACACATTCTTGTATTATATACATTGCCATTCTCCACCCTCTTTGTTTTCTACACCATCTGTTTTCATCCATTAGAGCACTAGTTATGTGGGGACAAGTGGTACTTTGAAGAGAGTTTTGTATTTTTCACTTATCTCTAGCCTTTTTTCATTGGTATTACCTTACTCATTTGTTCCAAGAGAGCTTTGGAGGCATGGATTATAATTTATCACTTATTCCAGCTATTAGGCGCCATTGTTTAAAAATCACTCATCCTTACTGCTGACTGTCTTCCAACAGAGGGGACTGAGATTTTGAGATGTAACATGGCCACCCCAATGAGAACAGTGTCATAGACCTGTAGACTATGAAGCTAGAGAGCCACAGTAGAATCCTATGTCCTGTATTTTCCTGTCTAACTTATTATTTCTTTCATCAAACACTTAATTAACCAGTTCAGTCACTCCCTTCAGTAGAGAGGTGATGACTGAAGAGCATATGAAATAAAAGCTGGGAACATTATTTAACCTTAGATCATTCCTTCTTATGTAATATAAGGATATTATATTAGTGCTCAGTGATGATAATAATGACTGACCCAGTATGCAATTGGTAGATACAAACTGTAATGATTATAAATGGCACTTAGTATCATCTCATATTTTTTCTACTTCCTCTCTAGGAGGAGGAAATAGGAAGAGGAAGTAAGAAAAGTATGTCTCACGTACCCTTCTGACCCAGATGTAAGCTCCACATGTCACAGTAATTTGGATTCCTATTAAGTCTGATTTTTTTTAATGTTTTGTCATGGAGCTAAAGACTTGTGCATGAACAGTAGACAGTAAGAACGGAAAGCATAGTTGTCCCATAGGCTGTGGGGACCTTCAATCTTAAGCTTGTCCTGCTCTGGCCTTCTTGTATTTAGAAGTTTCAGTTCAACACCTGAGCATCCTCCTCCACCCACTTGGAGACTGGAAGCTACTTGGGATAACCTCATAGGGATCAGTTCTCATTTGAACGCACCTTATTTGAATGTGTCCAGCATTTGCTTCTGAAGGATGCGATAGTTACAGAGATGCTGAACTCTGCTATGCTGATGATTAATAAGATTGACAAAGCTCCCTGCAAGAAAGGAAGGAAAGTAAACAGCATTTGGAAACAAACCAGTGTCACTTTAGAGATAGTACCTTATACTTCATGACCAAGTTTGGCATTAGATATTAAACAGTTTTCATATATTTCTGAGATAGCAGTAGCATCCTCCACTATCTCTACCCATAGACCTAAACACCATTTTGAGTGCGACAGGAAGAAACAGTAGAGAGCATTGATACTGGTGGCACAGTGAATTGTTGCCACATGGCATCGTGATGACTTTTTCCTTCCCTTAATTTTTTTTTAAATTTTTGAGAGAGAGAGAGAAAGATGCAGTCATTAATGCATTTCCTCTGGGGGATAGACCATATTTAATAATTATAGAAGATCATGCTTGGAACTATAGGTGAATGATTTTTATTTTGGTCTGGTCGTGCGGCCTGAACTCAGGGCCTGGGCGCTGTCCCTCAGCTCTTCAGCTCAAGGCTAGCGCTCTACCACTTGAGCCACAGCGCCACTTCCGGCTTTTTTCTTTTTGCTTATGTGGTGCTGAGGAATCGAACCCAGGGCCTCGAGCATGCAAGGCAAGGACTCTACCATTGAGCCACCTTCTCAGCCCACTTCCCTTAAATTTTAAATGATGTCTCTGGTGACTATGTAGACAGTGGATTGGTCTTTATGAGATATCTATAGCTCACTGTCCTAATATTTTAAGCTTAGTTTTAGCCAGAAGTTAAAACAGGCCTAGGGACAGATTCTCCATGATTTTCTATGCAGGAAGACTATCCTGCAATATCCATCCAGGGAAGGCAAGAGATAACAGAATTTCATGTAGCTTTAGATTTAACTCTTTTCATATATAATATAATTTCTTCCTGATATATCTAATTTACATAACTAATATAATATAGAATAATATATATTATACACACTTATATGATCAAATATATAAGGAAATAATGCACACAAAATAACTCTATATTATGTATAAATTATATATCTCACTATAATAGAGAGTAGTGAAATCCTAAACATGAATTAAATGCATATGAATTAAAATATGGTATCATGTATAAGGATAAAATTAGAATTTCATATCCAGTATTTGTTTCTAGCGCTCCACAGTAACCTGAATACAATATAGAATTTGCCAAGGTCACTTGGCCCGCTTAAATGAGTGACTAAAGAAGATCTTATATTCAGTCACTGATAGCTCTTTTTTATGTCCTCCTTTATTGTGAGAACTAACTTCCCCTGGACTCTGCTTTATTTCCATCCCAGCTGGTAGAGATAGAATGGAACCCAGGACTTGCTTCGGGAACTAGAGGGAAAGGCAGGTTGAAATCTTTGACATGATTAAAAATAGTGCCATTTATTACTTCTGACACAAACAATATTCTGTCTGAAGTATACATCTTGGCAAAAGTACATTTTGTTTTCCTTATTGAATAAAATTGCTAGTAATTATATAAAGTGATTTATGCCCTAATGTTATTAAAATACCCCACTTGCTAAACATTTCTTCCATTGTATATTGGTGTTTTTTAATTTTTTTAAAACAAAATCTGGTGTCAAAGCCTGGGTGCAGTCCCAGGCTCAAGGATACCACTTGAACTCTACCACTCTACTTGCGCTCTACCCCTTGAACCACAGCTCCATTTCCAGCATTTTTGTGGTTAATTGAAGATAAGAATCTCACAGACTTTCCTGGTGAGGCTGGCTTCAAGCCACAATCCTCAGATCTCAGCCTCTTGAGTAGCCAGGATTACAGGCATGAGCCACTAGCTCATATGTATCAACCGAGGTTGATACAACCTCGTTTATTAGAATAAAAATTAATGCACCATTGTATTATGGACAGAGTTTGAATAGGATCATACATGAGATAAAATCACTTACAACAAGAAGTGTTTTACCAAAAACGCATATTCCTTCAAGGGAAGGCATCTGGCAGAACTTGTGTTGCTGTGTAAAGCTGATAATGGTGATTATAATCCCAGCCAATGCAGCCACGGAACTGATGACATTCATGATCATGACTGATAGTCCCTGGAACATAGTTTTAATACACAATAAATTAAAATCTCCACCAAATCAGAAATCCCTTGTAAGAAATCCTTAGTGCTTTTTTCTTTGTAGATACTTCATAGGGATGAGTTGGTTCATTAGGTCAAGGTCTAGAAAGCTGAGTGAGATAAATTTTGATTCATCAAAGTTGTTAGACTAAACAATACTAAATGAGCTGAGTAAGTGAGCCGGGTGCTAGTGGTTCATGCCTATCTGTAATGCTAGTTACTCAAGAGGCTGAGATCTGAGGATTGCAGTTCAAAGCCAGCCTAGGCAGGGAAAGCCTAAAGCTGGAAGCAGAACTTGACTGAAATGGTAGAGCACTAACCTTGAGTGAAAAAGTTCAGGGACAGTACCTAGGCCCTGAGTTCATGACCCTGTACTAGGCTTGAACTTAGGCCTTGTGCTTTTGCTTGATTTTTTTTTCTCAAGGCTGCCTACCATTTGAACCACACCTCTACTTCTGGCTTTTTGCTGGTCAATTAGGGTTTGTCTGTCTGAGCTAGCTTGAATTGCAGTCTTCAGATTTCAACCTCTTGAGCGGCTAGAATTGCAAGTGGTTCGGAACCACTAGTACCTGGCTTAAAAATGTTCATTTTTAAATTTTAGCAAATGGTAACTTGCAAGTAGTAGTATGTTGAAAGGTATCTTCACTTTGAAATCAGACTTGACTTTGAGTCCCAGTTTCATTAGAACCTTGTACTAATTACCTGATCTGTGTGTGTGTGTGTGTGTGTGTGTGTGTGTGTGTGTCTGACTGTCTATCTGTCATGGGGCTTGAACTTGGGGCCTTGGTACTGCCCCTGAGCTCTTCTAGGCTAGTGCTCTACCACATTGAGGTACAGAACCACTTACAGTTTTCTGGTGGTTAATTGGAAGTAAGAGTCTCCAGTCTTTCTTGCTTGGGCTGGTTTTGACCTGTGATCCTCAGATCTCAGCCTCCTGAGTAGCTGGGAATACAGGTAAGAGCCACCAGTGCCTAGCTTAATCCTTTGAAATATTAGTCTCTTCCTTTAAAAATGAGAAATTACATCATGTGACTTATTCCATACACATTATGTACTGAATTAGTGTCATACTGCATTAGGCTCCAGAGACATCAAGATAATGAGGAAGAGGACATTCTGCCATCTTGTTACTTGTGTTCATTTCCCCAGAGGAGGCACATAAAATCACTGACCTATTTGAAGATAATAAACTATTTGGATCAGCATTTAAAGGTGTTGATCTCATGTTCTAAAATGAAAGGCACGGGGCTGGGAAAGTGGTTTAGCAGTAGAGCCTAGCATGCATGAAGCCCTGGCTTTGCTTCCTCAGTACCACATACACAGAAAAAGCGGGAAGTGGCGCTGTGGCTCAAGTGGTAGAGCGCTAGCCTTGAACAGGGACAGGCTCAAGGACAGTGCCCAGGCCCTGAGTTCAAGCTCCAGGACCAGCAAAATAAATAAATAAATGAAAGGTATAAGATGTACAGATCACTCCATCCAATTTATTTCCTGCATTCCCATTATGTTGGTGTTGTCTTTCTTGAGAAGATCTGCATGTATATATACATTCCTTTAAGAGAAAAGGGACATGTTATTCTCTTCTTTATACCCACTCCCAACACTGAAAAATCCTTTCTGTCTCACTTCAGCCTGCACTTACTATTCCTTTATTGATGTGTTGTGTCTTTTGTGGCAAGAAATGTAGTGAATCATGTCTACAGTCTGTTCTTGGTGGAATGGCTTAGTTGGCAGGGACTTGGACATATGCTTGTGACTTGAAGCTTAATCTTTAATATGGCATATAAAAACAGAAAGAGGAAGAGCCAGCAGATGTCATCTCACTCAATTTTCAGATTTTTGGCTCTTGCCAAGCTGTTTTTTTTCTCACATTTGGTAAAGTACGGTCTCCAGAGAGGCGATGTTTCCAGGGTGGTTTAGGATGTGAGGCAGGCCCTGGCTGTGACTGCAGCAATCCCACCATTCGTGGAAGAGCTGTGGGGAAAAGTCAGATCTTTTGATGCCCCATTCAACATTCTTGCCCCATTTGCCATTTCATCTGTATGGTTCCTTTTGTGGGTTGGGGAGAGTCTTGCATTAACCTTAGTATATTTCTCAGCTTTGGAAAGATGGAGTCCTTCATCTTTTCCTGTTGCCTGAAAATTTCTCTATGGCATGTAACTACCTCTAGGAGAAATTGGCAGAAGACTATGAAAGCAAAGATAAAATGGCTCTGAGAGAAGGCTCAGTTCTCCAGGATCTTCACAAGATCAGTGTCGTTAGAAGGGAATATGAACATTTGGGTATCATTATTTCTTTTATAGCTAAGATCTTCATCTTTAACTCAGCACAGCAATGAATGGTACCCTTGGTTCAGTCCTAGACCCATGCAGCATCAGTGCCCAAACTCTTTTCTCTGGGCCTTGGCAGGCCTCACGTAAAGCCTTCATTAATATGGGGAGTCATGCCTAGGGAAGATAATTACTGGTTTCTATGCACTGATTTTGGTTAGACAGGATTTCTTTAACAGTATAGACATTTTTGGTCATGTGATTTGATTTTACTCTGAGAGGCTTTCCTGTGTGCATTTTAGAATGCCTAGAAACATCTCTGGCTTCTTCACTGCAGAGGTCAATAACATCCCATCATCCAGTCATGACAAGCACATATGTTTTTAGACATTATTCAATACTTCCTAGGGGAGGAGAAGGGACAAAATGACTACCAAGTAAGAACTACTTAGTTAGAGGGATATAAAGAATGTACCAGTTTACTTGGCCAGAATAAAAAATATCTAGTGCAAATGACAGAATCAGCAAATGAGAATGATCTAAACTGCAGATCTGATGTATTCCTATTTTCTTGAGAATTTACCACAAAATTGTTTATACATTGAGATGATATAAAAGAATGAAAAGATTTTAAACAGCATAGAAATCACAAACATAACTTACCCAAATTTTATTTGATTTCCCATTGGTCATAGTGAGTAATCCTGTAACAAAGAACTGTTCGGAAGACAAGAGACAAAAGTTAACAGGTGATGAGTGGGATTACTTTTCTTAGTGTCAGTTGTGGGGCTTGAACTCTGGGCCTGGATGCTGCCCTGAGCTCTTCAGCTCAAGGTGAGCACTCTACCACTTGAGCCATAGTGCACGTTCAGTTTTCTGGTGGTTAATTGGAGATAGGAGTCTCACAGACTTTCCTGCCTGGGCTGGCTTTGAACCACAATCCTCAGATCTCAGCCTCCTGAGTGGCTAGGATTACAGGCCACTGGCACCTGGCAGAGTGGGATTGCTTTATGGTGCAGTCTCCATAGGATACACAAATCACCTTTGTGGGAATCTCCCAGAACGTCTTGGCCTTTCCATCCATGTATTAGCAAGAAACATAGGCATTGTCTTCCACCAACAACTGGGGAAATAACCCCTTTGTAATGTCCAGAATATACTATCAAGATGTATGCTCCAGCTGGGATTCAATAAAAAGAGTTATTCTTGAGTTCTTGGCCTGGAAGGAGGTGGGAGGGGGCTGCATGTGTTCTGAGCAGAGGGAGGGGGCCTTTTTCAGGGAAGACCATTTTCAAATTGAGAATGGGTTCTGAAGCCTAGCGTCAACTTATTTTCAGAACATACTCTAGTACCAAGCAGGGAAATGGAAAAGTCACCCAAGGTGGAAGCCCTTACTTGTATTAATGCTGCAGAGATAAGCATTGCTATTTTCCTTGGGATATCTTGGGCTCATCTTGGGCTTGGAGTCTTGACATGACATGTAGAGATCGGAATTTTGGTGCTATGAGTTCCTTTTGATGCTATGAATGCTAGATAGATATGTTTAATTTATTCCCTTTTCTCAAACTCAGTTTCCTTATTTGCAAAGGAGAAAATCAGGTACTTGCCTATTCTTTCTGATCAATAGCATGGACTTTGGACCCCTCTAAGCATTGCCCAGTAGGGGTCTCTGTTATGGAAAGGAGAACAGTACCTGACCCAGAGGAGCGAATGGTTTTGTCATGGAGAGGACTGCCTCTTTGGTTTTCTGGAGGGCTATGTATGTCACACCAGCCTTTATAGCAATGCCTCAAAAGCTCTTACTGCACAGTACTCACAATTAATGCTCCCCAGAATGGGTATCCTGTGAGGAAAACGAGGGGGAATTTTTTGGAGAAAGTGAGGACAGATATAATTCCAAGGCTCATAATGACCAGAGCAAGCAGGATCTGGATAGCCTGTGTGGAGAAATGATGCAGAAGGTTACCAGTGCCCAAGGCCTGGAGGCTTCCGGGGCCCCACGGCATGCTTTGTGCTTACTGCATATTTCCCTAGGTCTGAATGTCTTTCTCTCCACTACCAGCTATATTCAGAATGTGAGGAGCCTCAGCCCAAATGTCTTTCCCTACTGTGTGCTTGGCTCACCCTTATACAGCCCCTCAAATTACCAATTTACTTTGTATCATGCAAATTTGAACATCTGGCTGCCCTGGACCATAAACTTTGAGAGCAGAGACCCCAAGCTATTTGCTTTATATTTATTTCCACTTTTAGAGCACAGCATTTTAGGATTCCTCTCATAGCCTGCTCCTCTTCACAGTTTCTACATTAATACAGTTGTCCTTTGGTATGCATGGGAATGCAGTGGGGTAAGAAGATTGGTTCTACCCACGACTGTGATGTTCAAGTCCTTTATGTAAAATGGCATCATTTCTCCATCCTCTCATAGTCATTTCTCATTTTTCTTTTATTTCCTCTCTTTATCTCCCTTCCATCTTTCCTTCATTCCCTTCCTTTCCCTTCCTTGTCTTTCCTTTCCTTCCCCCACTCCATCCCCATTTATCTCTCCCATATTCTTTAAGTGACTTCCAGGTTACTTATAATACTTAGGGGAATATAAATGCTAAAACAACAATTGTTGTACTGTATTTTTTAGGGAATAGTGACAAGAATAAAATAGTGTGTATACATTTGGTACAGACATAACTTTTTTGAATATTTTGATCCATGGTTGGCTGAATCTGTGGTTGTGGAACCTGTAGATTTGGGTGGCCAATCATATATGCTTTTGAAATTAGGCTCATGTTAATTCCTAGAAGATGATGAGTTTGCTGATAGATGACATTATGTGATAGTGGACATTGTGTCTCATCTGCTCTCCATCTAAGTGCCTGACTAGAAATGCAAATAATCTAGTTAGCTTCTCAACATTTATATTTGCAGGAGATGGAAAATGCAATGGTCTTGAAGGGCCAGTAGTCTTTCTTGGGGCCAAATTTTTCCTCTAGCACTCTCAATCTTATCCCCAGGCCTATCCATCATAGCACCACACAAAGAATGATTTCATGGCAAGGTTAGGACTGTGTATTCAGCTCTCCTTTAGGTACATTATTGATGAAAAATTGCATATGTGTAAATAAATTTCTATCTGTGGTTTGCTATAGTGCTTTGGATATTAATATCAAAGAATGTATGATGCTTGTTTTAAGTCATGGTTATGATTCAAAAAAGGTACATTGCAGGGAAAAGAAAGAGGGAGGGAATCTGTTCTTTCCCTGGAAATGATCACTTAGTGGTGTTTCTGAAGATAAAACATGAAGACAAATCTTTTTCTCCCTTCCAGGATGACCCATGATTGGAGAGAACTTACCCCCAAGAGTTTTGGCTCCCCCTTTAGAATATCCAGCAGAGAGATGTGTGGTCTGTAAGGAAACGCAGTTAACACAGTTTCATTTGGTTCTATTGTGATGACCTGGGTCCCTCTTTTCTCCTGGGATGGTGACTCCATGGTTCACTGGCAGAATTCTACTAGGAGAATATGTGAGTGAATATTGTGGCTGAAATCATGATCTCCTTTTCTACCAGTGTCACATGGAGTCCTTTGCAATGTGCCCATAGCAATTACTCCACTCCATACTAGAATCACAGAATCTCAGTCATTGAGTCATAGAATCTGAGAATTCTAGAGTGCCCCCAACCCCAGAAGATCTTCAGTTTGTTTATTGACATACAGTGAACACAAGATAAAATTGATAATTCATATACAAATATCAGTATAGAAGCCTATATTATATCTACACTGTATCAAATACTAACAAAAGAAACATAATATGCTGTTCAGAATTCTGTTTTCCACATTAGTTCTTTATGTTCTTATAATGTATGATTTTTGACTATTAAATCGTGGAGGTAAATGGTTTCGTATAACCATATACAATATATACAGATGTTACTCCTAGCTTATGCCAAACATGAACCCCTGGAGTTCACAATTTTTATGACTTGCTGGCATTTGGACCAATAAGTCTCTGTTGTAGGGAGTTCTGTGCATCAGTGTCTCTAGCCCATGCTCATTTAGATACCAGTAGTATATACCAGTAGTACATTCCAGCCTATACTCATTTAGATACCAGTAGAACATTAGAGACTGTTTCTAACTTCTAAAAAATTATGTCCAGGGGCTGGGAAGGTGGCTCAGTGGTAGAGCGCTTGCCTTGCATGCCTGAGGCCCTGAGTTCGATTCCCCAGCACCACATAAGCAAAAAGAAAAAAAGCCGGAAGTGGCACTGTGGCTCAAGTGGTAGAGCGCTAGCCTTGAGCTGAAGAGCTGAGGGACAGCGCCCAGACTCAGAGTTCAGGCCCCATGACTGGATTCCAAAAAAAAAAAATTATGTCCAAACATTGTTAAATCTTCCTTGAGGCTAAACTATTCTATTTTAGAACGACTGCTGAAGCCAGAGGCTGCAAAGAAATCCCTGGTTAGTGACCAAGCATTATGACTATTTGGTGCCTGAAAAATTACACTATTTGGCCTAGCTTAAAATGTTTATTATTATGTTTCTGCTTTGACTTGCATTTTAGAGAGCTTGAATGGGAGTTTGGGTTGGCAAATGGCACGTATATGCATATGAACAGACACATCTACAGACATATGTACTCTCATTTAAAATGATGGCAAAGAGCTGTCTTCATGCAGACTATGCATGAAATACACAATTCTGTGTCAGGTATTTTATAATTCATCTAATTATATATTTTTAACAAGGTAACAAATGTCAACTTGTGCCTTTTTCTTTCTTTTCTTACTTTCAAGTTTATCAAAGATTGACCCTTTAGTATTTCTTTCTGTAGACTCAGAAGACAAGAACTAACTTATTCCATAGAGTGGTGGAATTTCATAATCTTTATAGAACAGCTACAAGTAGATGGAAACTTTTTAAGTAGAAATGATATTTTATCTTGGTATTCTACTTCAAACTGCAGTAGTCTAACCTTCCTTGAGTTTAAAAGTTTGACAGGTAACCAACACTTAGGATGAGCCAAAAACTTCTCAAAAATATAATGATATATTTTTCCTCTCTAAATGTATCCTTCTATATGTGCTACCTAGGTACTCTCCCAACAGCTTTTGGAAAGCAGGTTCTATCATTCATATCTATTTTAATGAGGAAATTGAGAGTCACCATTACTGCTGGTAAATGGTGGAGCTGACGTGTAAATATGGCTCAAAGTTGAGCTTTTCATTTTTCAGATTCTAGGCAATAACCTGATGTGTTTCAGTTGATCTGCATAACTAATTATACAAATTCAATAGCTTAAAACAACCCATAGTTTTATGTACTAATTTTTATGGGCTGAGTCACAGCTTAGCAGGGTATATCTGCTCACGCTCTTAGATGGCTGAAATCAAGATATTGGCCATACTGTACTTTCACTTGAAGGCTTAACTGGGAGAGAACCTAATTCTAGGCATATTCAGGTTGTTACCAGAATAAGAGAAAATCTTATTTCATTCTGACTGTGTGACTAATGGCCCTGGCTTTTGTAGACTGGGTGTTGAAAGATCTAGGAGATTTCTCAGTTCTTTCTCAACATGCCTGCTTATTTCTTCTGACCAGGGAGGATAAACGTACTTGAATTGTCTAGGTAAGAGAACTGATGGAAGAGCTTGTGATGAGGATTTGAGTATGCACGGCTCAGTATTTGGGGTTATCTTTTGGCAATATATATATATATATATATATATATATATATATCCAGTATTACTAAATATCAGATGTATCTTCTTGGACTTGATTAAAACTATACTTTCTTGCCATGAGTTCATTAAATCTTGTTGTGATTCTTCCTTGATTAGTTTCTCACTGAATGATACAATGAAGCAAAGAAAGGACTCAGGAATGACTCCTAAATGTCTGACTTGAGAAACGGAGTAGATGGTCACCCATTTGTGAAAGAGACCCTGATAGAGGCTGGAGGCTGATGCATCTTTTCAACACTTTGGTAGCCAAGATGCTCTTTGAACTAATAAAATCATAAAACAAAATGGGAAGTTAAGAAATAGGCTCTGGATAACATCTAATTTTATTTGTATTGCTTAGCTTAAGGGAAGAAAAGAAATCTCCAAGGTTCTTTACATCTCTGTTAAAAATGAGCACATTCCGATTTGTGCAGATGGTCCAATAGAAGCTGAAAACCTCAGAAGGGAGTAGTGACTACTGATACATCTTTTGGACTTATATATTAGATATACAATAAAGGTATACATAAAATACATTGTGTGTAAAATGGTGGTGGGTACTATGGGAAAAATGCAGTGAAGGGAGGGGGTGGCAGTTTTGTATAGGTTGGTGGGGAAAATTCTTACTGTGGCTGAGATGTTTGAAGAAAAGACTTGAAAGAAATAAGGAAGCAAATAATGGAAACATTTGCAAGAAACACATTCCAGATGGAGGTACCTAAAAAAATAAAACTCCTCCAGAAAGACTGTTGTGCTCTAGAAAAAAGCCAATGAAGGCAGAGTAGAAGAAGCAAAGGGGAAAGTAGTGAGAGTGAAGATGAGAGAAGAAATGAGGAGTCAGATCTCATATGGACATTTGAGGATATTGGCTTTTATTTGGAATGAAAAGAAAAGGATTTGGTGAAAGAAAGACCTTACCTGATTAATGAAAAGTCCTGCTGCATACCACGTGGAGAACAGGCTGAGTAGTGTTGCCCATTGGTTTATCATTGCGCTGGTGTCAGCGAGGTGCTGGACCAGAGTACTAGTGAAGTGGGGAGGAGTCATCGGACTCTAGATCAGCTTGTAGTGATAGGTTATGTGTAAACACAGAAAGAAATAGAATCAAGGATAACTCCAGGGTTGGGGGGAAGGTGATTTTTTTAAAGGGGACCTGACTTTGAAAAGAGAGATGAGAGGACTTAAAAAGCTAGACATGAGGACTGGGAAGGTGGCTCAGTGGTAGAGCGCTTGCCTTGCATTCATAAGGCCCTGAGTTTGATTTCTAGTACCACATAAGCAAAAAGAAAACAGCTGGAAGTGGCGCTGTGGCTCAAGTGGTTGAGCGCTAGCCTTGAGCTGAAGAGCTGAGGGACAGTGCCCAGGCCCAGAGTTCAGGCCCCATGACTGGACCGGGAAAAAAGAAAAGCTAGACATGAACAAGAGATCAAAGACTACTGGCTTTGTTTTCCAAAGTGTTGTGTTCAATTGTAGTAAAGAAATGAGAGAACACAGACTACAAATATACAACATGAACATCCATATCAAAAAAGAACATTACCAGAGACCCTTCCAACAACTACGGTCCAAATTAACCACTACCCACTTCTTAACACTATATGTTAATTTTGCTTGCATTTATATATTATGTACATAGAATCATGGGCATTTGCTTATTTTTACATAGATTTTTCTCTTAAATAATTGTCATGGGATTGATTTATATGTCTGTATGTAGTTTGCTGTTTGTTCTGTGTTGCTGTATGATACTGTACTGTTTGAACATACCAGTATTTATCCTATTTTATAGACATCCAGATAATGTTTTTTGGAGTCTGTTATATGTACTATGATCACTTTTGTATATTTGGGCTACTTGTGTAGACATTTCTGTTGGAATGGGACTCAATGACTTGACCCAGGGAACAATATTACGAGCTTCTATATTGTTTAGGTCATGTTCATTTCTATGCTACAGTAATTGATATTCTTAGCATGTCCTATTTCTTATTTCTAGCACTTAAATGAGTATATTTGTAGGATTTGCTATTAACTTTGAATACAACTATTTAAGAATAGAGTCATCAAATAAGTGAATCATATTTTCAATGAATTATCTAATTTAAACATTATGAGTACAAAAATAAAACAGAAATAGGTCCTGCATAGCCACATGGCCTAACCAATTCCTATAAGCAGAAGAGTTTACATTTTCCTTCGAATATATAGAGCTAGATGAAGCATTTTATGCTTAGCCTTCACACAGAAGTTTGTCAAGTTATTTATACCAGTTTAGTGACCTGGGCCTTGGAAAAATTATTTTTTCAGGAGAAACTAAAAAACTTGTAAGGAAAATAACACAAAACTTTAAAAAGTTTATTTCTATATCCAAAATGAGTGAGATTATAGAAGTCTAGTCACACTTTGCCATTTGCATTTCTGAATTGAGGGTAACTCGTAGCCACAACGAACTCTTAATGACTTGTTAGATTTGTTCATGTGACTGAGGTAAGGATAATGTACTCTAGTAAAGATAAAATGTATAAGTACCTATTGTGATTTGTATATGAAATGATTCCTCCCCCTGCCCCACGCCCCCAGCTCTCATGTGTTAAAAGCTTGGTCTTTAGCTGGTAGATTGGACAGTGAGAGTGTGACCTCTATAATGAATTAACCCACTGGTGAGCTCATAGCTGAGTATGTTATTAGGATATGAAGATGGTTGGAGGACATAGTCACTGATGGTGGTGTGCCTCTGAAAGATAAATCTTGTCTCTGGCTTTTTGTTC